ATACGCGTGCAGGTATTTGAATCTCTCATCTCTACGCTGCATATCTCAATCGAAAAACAGTGTAGGATAATTTTCGCACGAACCTCTGTTGCTGAGTCAAGCGCTGACTAACCGTGGACCTCCGGTGTATAGTAATTCGTACGTTAAATACGACTTTGCTAATTTCATCAGCACGTTCGCGAAACGATTCCCGTCCTGGTTCGCTCACCTTCGCGAAGTCGATGGTGTCGCGTTTCAAGAAAAGAATCGACTCCGACGTATGACCTTTCATCGTCTGAAATAGACGTCCCGGTTAAAGTGTCCGTTTTGGGCAAAGATCGATCCCAAGGCCTATTGTATCCACCAGTTAACCGTCAGTTACCGATTAGTCGGTCGTTCGGTGATTTTTTTTAACACCTGACTTAGCCCCGTTTCGAGCGCGAGGCCTTCGAGCGTGAAACGTCCTGTCAACGAGAATAATTCAACTGACTACAGCTGAAAAACGCTGTAAGTTGTTCGCTTGGTATATCTTCCCGAGAGCGTGATAAACTGAAGTTGGCAAAAATGAATCTTCTCCAGCTAGCCTCCTGACCGTCTTTTTTGCTGAACCAACCGCTATGCCACAAGTGCCACAGTTCGCGCGCAAGCGGTCTTTAGCGTTTCGGGTTTGCTCATAACGCCTCAAACGATTCGCTTTCGCAATGCTTTTCTTAATGGGAAGTAATGATTTTGTACTTGAAACGAGACGTTTTCACTTTGCCAATTAACCTCACGTATAATTGAAATAAATGTTCGCGAATATAATATAAGGGTAAGAGTATAATATAGGGTAAGAGATTAAAATATAAATATATATGCATGTAAGTTTAATATTTTTAATAAGGGTAAGAGATTAAAATATAAATGTATATGCATATAAGCTTAATATTTTTAATAAGGGTAAGAGATTAAAATATAAATGTATATGCATATAAGCTCAATATTTTTAATAAGAGTAAGAGATTAAAATATATATGCATATAAGCTTAATATTTTTAATATTACGTAAAATATACTCGTCGTTTCATTTATACGCGTGCCACTTTCTTTGCGTGCTCTCCTTTCGCGCGCACTGCTTTTTATACGCGATTTGAATTTACGCGAAATTGCAGATACATCGTTCGAGACGTTCAACGAGCGTAGTTCGTCGTAAAATTTGATTATCCGGAAATTTTCGTTACACACACACACGACATTACGAGCCAAACAGGTTTTCTGAGTTGACGATTTATTTTCGAGGATAAATCAATTAACCGTGATACAAAAGGTACGAAGTAAATTTCACTTATGAGATTTTTAAAAAAATTCATCGATTCATTACTAGAAGCTATATAATTATACAACTATTGTACTTTATTAATTCATAAATTAATTGAATCGAAATTGAACGAATTTATACTTTTAAATGATATATTTCAATGATATATTGATTCTCATATTTAATGTAAAAAAATAATTTTTTATTAACTAAAATTTTATCTAGAAACACTTTTCAGTATCTTTTTACTATGTTATAACTTTTTTAGTATCTTTTTACTATGTTACAACTTTTTCAGTATCTTTTTACTATGTTACAACTTATTTCTGTTAAAATTGGCAGGAAATTTGCATACCAATTATTCGACTAAAATAATTAATCAATTAACTTTATAAATTTATTATATTATATTTATTATTAATTTTATATTAAATTTATTATTAATAATAATAATAATTATTAATATTTATTATTAAATTTATTAATAATAATAATAATAATTATTAATATTTATTATTAAATTTATTATTTATGTTATTTAATTAATTTACTGTTGAATTCAGACCGACGAATGCCCGTTTCGTCGTTTTCCCGTGGTCTACGTTCCGTTTCGCGCGCATTCCCACGTTCTTCCCTCCCGGCCGTGCCGCGCTCGTCGTCATATCACGGGCCGCGAGTCTGATAGGCGCAATTAAGGACCGGGAGGGAAAGCGCGCGACGAAGGTTACGCCAAGGTCCAGTGTCTCGTGTTTTTTTACCTTTTTTACGCGCGTCCCTCTTTCCGTCCCGCGAGAATTTATCATCAGCTCCGATCGTCACCGCTCTCTTACAGTCGTTCGCTACGTAATTTATCGTCAGAGTTGACTTTTATCCGGAACGTGTAAAGTAACGCGTGTAATCTCTTAGTTTCTTCAGAGTGAAGTGATCCAGCCAGTGGATTCTGCTTTCTCGCGACAGCCTGTCGATCGTCGAGCGCAAATACGCGATAACTCAAAGGAAATCGAACTTCTAGATCGTTGTTCGCAACCACCTCTCTGTATTGCGACGCGATCTTACACCCGCTGAAGAAACAAGGACGCGTTGCTCAACCAGCGCTGATTGTTGGAGTTTCACGATGGTAATAATCGCGAAACGTGCATTGATCGTTCGTCACAATTCCGTTTAATTGCTGAACGAAACGGTCGAATGGAGATCGATTGACACGGTTCATTCGAGGCTGCCGAGGCGAGTGGAACGATCATCAGTTTAATTCGCGTTCTTTGACCTTTATTATTATTTACTGATGAACGTTGTATCGAAAGATCGTCTTTCGATGATTTCATAACGTACGTACGGTCGTAAGAAGCAAATTTATTTTCTCGTTTCGATGGACTATATAAATGACTATAAATAGTTGTTTCATACCGGAGAAAACCGAAAGTATTTTTACACAAAGATCTCTTTTAAATCGAACCTAATGTCGGGGGCTAAGTATACTTTAAACCGACCGTTTCTACTCAACCGTGATCCACCTACTCGTGGCACGTTGCACTTTCGTAGTCTAATAATCTCTCAATGGGACCATCAATCGTCCAGTGTGACAAGAAAATAAGAGCGAGCGACACACGACCTACGAAAAGAGAAAAAAGAAAAATTACCATGGCTCGAAACGATTCGAACAATCTCTCGGTCGATCTTAACGATCTCAATTTAGACGATTCTCGACGAAAATGTGTCGCCGGTCTTTGCCTTCGTTTTTCGTCGTTGCAGTTGCACGTCGAAGTGAAAGCCACCGGTTTGAATGCGAATATAGGAAGCACGCCGATCTCCGCTGCGTTAATGACGAGCCCGCGGTGTAATTAAGCGGACACGTGAACGAAGACTTGGCCGTGCACGCGGGATCCGATCTGCCGGAAATCTGAACTTTCGCGTTCTGAACGTGGAACTGACCGGGTACTCCGGCCACTGCCGGATGTCTCGAACGACGTGAGAACGCAAACAGAGTCGTTTTTCTCGTTTTCTTTTTTTTTTTTTTTTCACGAGTAAATCTCCGCGTTCGGAGACTATGAGTTTGTCATTTTCGAACAAACATATAACAATAATAATAACAGTCGATCTATTGCCAAAGATTTATGAGTCGATTTTGAATAATTAAAGGCTGTTGATTATATGGTGTTGATTTTAAATTGACTCTAATTTTCGAGCAAACGCTTGTGCCCTAAATATTCGTAAAAGAAATATTCAAAGTCAATATGAAAAAGAACATGACCGTATAATTTTTATCTTCTATACATTTATAATATTATTATTTTATTATTGATTAATTTTTTAATATATAAAATATTAAATATATTAAATGTTATTTTAATATTAAGTTAATTATCTTTTATTTTAATATCAAGTTAATTTTTGCTTTAGATACATTTATAATATTATTGTGTTATTAAAAAACACAGAGTACACGTACATATTCAGCGTAATAAGCTACAAAAATCGTTTCTCGTAAGATTTCCTTCTCTGAACAGTCCTTTTGCTTCGCAAGCAAATTAATGAAACAAGTTCTTGTTATTTTCTTAAAGGAGTCGATAACGAATTGAATGTACTTAAAGGTTTGAATCATTATTCGGGAGGCGATTACAATTTCACCTCTTTGCGCTGGAATGACAATGCCACGCACGTCGAGAATTTCCTGTCCCAAATTGTAACATTTTCTCAGTTTCAAGTATATTTAAATGTAACCGAGGCAAAACAAACGACAAGTTTATTACTTGTGATATCATACCGACGAGTTCGAAAGTGAAAGAAAGCAACGAATTATTCTATACGGGTGTTTGGTCACTCGTTATGGTCCGCGAACCAGCGCAAGGTATTAAGAACAGGTCAGACTTGACCGATTTCGATACTTTTACAAATGACAGACAATGAACGGCCAAAAACGAAATGAAATCAGGGCTCTCGAATATTGATAGAAACTGATCTGTTTGGCAACGTGAGAAAAATTTTCTTTCGTTCGCCGATGTGATCTATGTAGACGTTCTACGTCTTCGAGCGAAGCTGTCACTGATGGGAAGAGAGAATTCGATCGACCGGTAGCCGGTGATCGGATAGAGCCACCGTTCGTTATCGGGCGTGTCTAAATGTCACAAGTTGTACGAGGAATATTTCCCCGTTGTCGATTTGTGAAAGCACAGAACTAACGGCCTACTGGAATAATATTAGTCACAGCGTGTCGCGATCATTCATTACGCGCGAGTCGATCTCACGATCCGGTTCTCCGATCGTTTGTCGTTTGCACACGTCCGGTGGTCATTGGCAGACCGATCGCCCGGTGCGACTTCGTTCTCCATCGATATTTATCCCTCCGTCGACCGGCAATTAACGCGCACGTCCGCTCGACAAAAGGGAAAAAGTCTCGTCGATAAATATTCATGACGGAAAACGCAAGGACTCCCTGGATTTTTCTACCTGACTCGCGCGACACGTGACCCGTTATCTCGCGATGATTCACGAGGAGGTATGCCGAGTATCGTGTCCGTTATATAAATTTCCCGAGCAGCGTGCTCGAGAGTTCGAGTGTTCGAACGAGACAGTCAGTCGGTTCGTCGTGATTGTCGTATAATTAATTTCCAAAGTTAACGCTTACCTCGGAACGCGCGTCAACGATTCTACGTGCTTTAGAAGCGTAGTCACGAAATCACAACGATGATCGCGCGGTCGAGTCGAAAAGGAAAGAAAAGGGACTCACGATCTTCTTGAATGCTTGGATCCAGTATATATCTCCCCTCGATTCGACGCTAGTCAGCGCTCGTCTACGCGACACAAACCAGCCACAAACCAGCGTCGTTCCGATCGACTTCCGAGCAAAGGAGAGTGAAATACAAATTGATGGAAGTGTAAAATCAGTCGTTGTCACAGGGACGAGCCCATAACACGGGGATAGGAATCAGCTCGCTGTTGTATCACTCACTGTCCCGTTGCACTTGGACGACGATGAGGAAACGAGTGACCTCCCGGCCCGTGTGACCGTAGATCTTTATATCGGTGGATCCTACTGGCCCTGCGCCAGTGTCCCACTCTTTGACGCGCGACACGAGACCAACTGGAGGAGGCCCAATACGCGTCCCTGATACGTTTGTGGGTGCTGCTCGCACGATCGTGGGTGGCGTGCTCGATCCGCGAGTCGGCAAAAAAAAAAAAAAAAAAAAAAAAAAAAAAAAAAAAAGAAAAGAGAAACGAAGAGGAGAGGATTAGTATAACGCTTCGCGTTACTCGCGCGGCAAAAGGGACACGCCAAGTGGATCGTGTGTGTCACGAGGCTCTCCTACGACTGCCGCACCAGACGATCACGTTGTTCCGCTTGCACGCCTCTTTCACCCTTCCTTCTTACTTGCCGGTACGCGTTCCTCTCCCCGTCGGCCGCCACGGTCAGAATCGGTCCACCACGCGGGAATGAACCGTCATCGTAGGAAAATTGCTACGCTTTCCGCCTCCTTGCTCCCGATACGTGATTAGAAATTGTTGCCGCGAGCGAGCGAGCAAACTCCCGGTGTCCTCGGTCTTAGTCGTGTCAGTTCGTCGGAGCCTCTGTTACAGTTTCGGCGGTGATCTGGAAGTGGGTCTCTTTCAGAGGCAAGGTTATTCGAACCGGTCGCGAATCTCTTTTCTATCTGAGCGTTGGAAATCCCAGTTGTTTATTACTTTTCGACTAAAGAAAAAATAAAGAGGGAACAAGATACGTTAGGGTTCTCTTAGAAAACAGGAATATAAACTTAAGTAAGAATATATTATGATCACAGTCTTCAACCACTTGCGCTGGCAACTGATTGCGGACCGTAACCGAGTGACCAAACCGTACGCAATAATTCGTCGCTGCATAAAAATTATCGAGAAGTAACAAATTTATTATTTGTTTTGACTGTGTATTTGGTTATACTTGAATATATTTAAAACTGAGAAAATACGGCAATTTCGAGACAAGAAAATTCTCGACGTGCGTAGCACGTCATTTCAGTGCAAGAGGTCACGCTGGAAACTGATTGCGGACCATAACGAGTGACTAAATACCCGTACACAGTAATTCGTCGCTTTCTTTTTGAACTTGTCGGTATGATATCATTGGATAGAAATTATTCAGACATAACAAATTTATTATTCGTTTTGCCTGTGTATTTGGTTATACTTGAATATATTTAAAACTGAGAAAATATTGCAATTTTGGGACAAAAAATTCTCGACGTGCGTGGCACGTCATTCCAGCGCAAGAGGTTAACCATTTGCGGACCGTAACGAGTGACCAAATTGTATACAATAACTCGTCGCTTTTCTTTTTGAACTCGTCGGTGCGATATCATTGGATAGAAATTATTCAGAAGTAATAAATTTATTATTTGTTTTGCCTATTTTGTTTTACTTAAATATACTTGAAATTAAGAAAATGTCGCAATTTTGGGACAAAAAATTCTCGACGTGCGTGGCACGTCATTCCGGTCAGAGGTTGACCATTTGCGCTGGAAACTGATTGCGGACCATAACGAGTGACCAAATACTCGTATACAATGATTCGTCGCTTTCTTTTTGAACTCGTCGGTGTGATATCACTGGATAGAAATTATTGAAAAGTAACAAATTTATTATTTGTTTCGCCTGTGTATTTAATTATACTTGAATATATTTAAAACTGAGAAAATATCGCAATTTGGGACAAAAAATTCTCGACGCAAGAGGTTGAAGAAAGTGTAGAGTGGGATATCTGGTTTAGCAATTATCATGTCGACTTTTGAGGAGAACATACAAAAATAATTTGCATTTGCTGAGAAGTTTAATTCTTGAGAGGGAATAAGAAGATGACGAATCTTGTACTGATTTCACCAAAAATGATCACCAAACGGATACACCGTATTGTCGACGTGTTGTTTTGCTTTTACACTGTCGCTGACACCTTTTGCCAGGTGTTCCACGGAATTGGCACTTTTTACTTTACGTGACCGTCGCGATACGCGTTAACAGCGTTCAAGGCTCCAAGGAGTGTAAACTGCGTCCTCTTTCGTCATGTTCCGTCAGCATTGCGAGCAGATTTATTACCAAGCCCGGTAAGTGCTTCGATCGTTAACAAAGCTAACTCGCGTTAACGAGACGCGTTAGAAATTACTACTCGCAAGGGAACCTGTGTTTGCAAGCTTCGTCGAAGATCGCCGTCAGATCGATTTTAGAATTTAGAGCATCACTTTTCTATATCTAAATTACAACAACGGGAAATTCGAAAGGATGCAAGTTCGTTAAAACTCCTACGTGTCCTACAATTTACTAACAAAGTTAATCGATTGCAGAACATCGATCGATGAAGATGAGCGAGCATTTCATCTTTGAACAATCGGCGCATTATCGACGTGACACGAACTCACGTTCTCAAATTAACCATTCATTTGCAATTCCTTGATACTCTGTGATCGAGCAGTGTTATTGTACCTGTTCAATGTTTGACACTCTGTCGTGTCGACATTAACGTTCATGAGAATTTCAATGTACAGGGCGATTCATGTAACTTGCACGCCCCGAGCGACTTTCAAATTACAAGCATGAAAGCTAATAGCTTCAAAGATTTAAATAATGTAAAAATATAATGAAAAAGCAACAATAATGTAAAATATAAAAATATAAATGATAAAAACAGATAATACAAAAATAAATATGACACATGATACAAATACAGTACACACGTACGTACAACGCAATACAACACAAAAACACTTACCATACCTTTTCCACTTAACAATTTCTCATCAAACGTGTAAATCGAAAGTTACTGCTTGTTACTTCGTGCAAGTTGCGTGAATCACCCTGTAGATAGTGTCTCGGATCGAGCAGGCTATTCGTTAGTAATAATTCATCGAGAGTACAATGGAAAAACGACTTGGAACAGGATCCTAATCCGTTTCAGGCAAGGATTCTCGCATTGTCGATTAAATAATTTTTTTTTTTTTTCTCCGTAATACCACTGATGCAACGGCGGGACAGAATCGTCGCCGCGTTCGCAGCCGTAGACGGAAACGGGCTTGGGAAAACCTGCTTTTTGCCGATCGATTCCGCGGTGACACTATGGAAAAGGTATTCGCAACAGGTCTCGTCTTTCGCGTGGCCGTCGAGCCGGCGCGCGAGATTTTTGCCCGCGATTCGCCAGCTCGGAAATAACGCTGTTACGTCGCGTCGACGCGTGCTCTGCTCTCCTCCTTTACGTAAATCCTTACATGAGCCTCTCTCGTTAGGCTCTCGCGTTCCCTCGCCCGTGGCGGTTTAATGTTTCGATCGACCAAGGAACCATGCAAAATCACGTTCCGTCGTGTACGATTATTACACGACCGAGCAGCGATCGTGTCATCAGCATGTAACGAGCGTGCAACAGGACACGTCCGACCTATCAGCAATCACCAGTGCCATTCAGGAATCACCTTGCACGAATTACGAGCCGCACGCCAGTTGCACGTTGATCGACGTGACCGCTGATCTCGGTTAACAGTCGCCGGCGTCTTTGTTCCACTTTCTTTCCCTTTTTTCTTTTTTTTTTTTTTTTTTTTTTCATTTTCTTTCGGTGACTCATTACAATTCTACCACCTTGAAATTCAAGTAAAAGTAAAATATTTCCAAGTTGAAGATATCAATGGTTTAGATTAGACGTGATTATCGCGCGCGCCCAAGAGTTAACGCATGAAACAATTTACAAAATACACCAACGACGAGTTAGTCACCGTGATGCGGCGATTTTCGAACGAAATTTTGCAAACTCACAGTGTAATCGACAATTTTATATTGTATCGCGACAGATATTCTATTATACGTCGGTCGTCCACGTCCGAGGGAACTCGGACAAGTCCTGTCTCCCGCGAAGAACATTTTTTTTTTTCTTCTTAACATTCTTTCTATTCTATTCTGCTCGATTAACGATTTGATTTCTCGCAGGAAGTATCGCGACTCCATGCAAAAAGAAAATCCTCGGGACAGCAGGAAGTCTTGTTACAGTCCGCTGGAGGTTAATTACGATTCGAGCGTGTCGCTGATTAATTTCTGAGACTATGAACGTTAGAAACGTTGCAAGGTGAACCCCGTGACACGATTTTCAATTCGATACCTGAATGCACGCCTCGGAGCCGAGAAATAATTACGATTATGCGCGTGCACGCGCGAACTCGAGGCGAGTGACTCGATCAATGAGAAACGAGAAAGTTGGAAACATTGAAGGATGTTTCGAGTCGAGTAAAATCACTGGTTTAACGTGCAAGTTCGAGACAAAGGTTTACCATTCCATTAACAAGCACAAGCAAAAACTTCAAAGACGTGTTTTAACCTCTTGAGCTGGGATGACGTGCACGTCGAGAATCTTTTGTTTCAAAATTGTAATATTTTCTCAGTTTCTAAGTAAAACAAAATAGGCAAAACAAATAATAGATTTATTGCTTCTCAATAATTTCTATCCAGTGATATCATACCGAAAGAGTTCAAAAGGAAATCGACGAATAATATTGTATATGGCTTGGTCGCTCGTTATGGTCCGCAATCAGTTGCCAGCGCAAGTGGTTAAGAATACCTATAATTAAAGTCGTTTCCTGACGCTGTAGAAAATTTTATTTTATTTAAAATTTAATACAGCTTTAATTTGTAATATAATTTAACAATAAACACACGAAATGTCAATGTATTTAACTAGAATATACGTTATATATTAGGCATAATGTAGGTTACGTTATAACATATTATATATTATAGCATAACATGTTATAATAAGTAAAATTATATATTTATAGTAAAATAAAATAGGCAAAACAAATAATAATTAATTAATAATAATTTATTACTTCTCAACAATTTCTGTCAAGAAGAAGTTCAAAAAGAAACCGACAAATTATTGTATACGGTTTGGTCGTTCGTTATGGTCCGCAATTAGTTGCCAGCGCAAGTGGTTAAGAATACCTATAATTAAAGTCGTTTCCTGACGCTGTAGAAAATTTTATTTTATTTAAAAGTCAATACAGCTTTGTAATCTGTAATATAATTTAACAATAAACACACTAAATGTCAATGCATTTAACTAGAATATAGGTTATATTAGGCATAACGTGGATTATGTTATAATATATTATACATTATATATTATAGCATAATAATAATGTTATAATAAGTAAAATTATATATTTATAGTAAAACAAAATGTTATAATAAGTAAAATTATATATTTATATATAAGTGTTATAATACTTCTCAACAATTTCTATCAAGCAGAAGTTCCAAAAGAAAACGACGAATTATTGTATAAGGTTTGGTCACTCGTTATGGTCCGCAATCGGTTGCCAGCCAGCGCAAGTGGTTAAATAAAGTCGGCTGAAATAAAATTATAGAAAATAAGAAAATTATAGAAACCCATTCTGATTGATAACCTGTCGCAGTAAATTATAATTGAATGGCCAATTAAAAGAAAAAAAAAAAAAAAGGAAGTTCCCGGTAGTCAGATAATTGCTCGAAGTTCAAGACACTTGGGACAAAATGACTTGCTAATAATTAATGAGAATGAATGTTGGAATTTCAATGATTAAATCTCGTTGAGCAAAATCAAATTGTACTCAGTATTGTAGCACGATCATTCAGTTATTAACGATCTGTTACAATAATTGACATAATTATCAATCGCAAATAATTAACGAGAAGTAGTGTCGAGATCTACTCGAGATCGAGCGATTTAATTGCGATGCAGTTATACATTTGTGTACGTTACTCTCTCTCTCTCTCTCAATTTTTCTATTACGACCCGTCGAAAAAAACTCAGAAAATATCGCTAGAAACTTCGCTCGAGGGGAGTGTTTCAAGTTAAGAAAATGAATCTTGCTACAAGATGACGTCTTTTCTACTCCGAATTGCACGCCGAATCAAGTGGGAAATCTTCTATTCGCTCGAATCGTGAATAGAAACAGCCGATATAACGATGATATTTTCCGGCTGATTCATCCTCCACTTGCAATTGCGATCTTTCAGATGGTATTCCCTTACATAAGTGGAGTGAACACTGTCGATCCGTGTAATTAAGCGAATACGGACAATCGTGCACAAACGAGCGACTTCTTAAAACGAGATTCGACGCAATTCTATAGTATTAACTGTGGCCAGTTACGTAGAATTAATTACACAGAGTTAATTACGCAGAATTTTTACATCGACGTAAATTTCGCAAACATTCTCGCACAATGTGACGAAATCATAGAGAGATCGTTCAAAAACCATGAAAATTGGCTTATACCCTTCTTAAAAGAACTGTTCCGCTTCTTACGTATATCGTGCGTGTGTGTGTGTGTGTGTGTGCAAGCTCGTACATACGTCATCTTATTAGCTAATCACGTGTGCAACTCATGCACGACAGTCATGAGAATACTTACGTTTGTTGACTTTTCGTTTTGCATGTTTCTCTTTCTCTTTTTTTCGCGTGTTTCCATGGCTTTACGTTAAAAAATAAAATTAACAATCGAAGAATGTCGCAGAAGCGAATCTCCTATTTCCTATTGATTATCAAATCACGGGTGTCAATCAGTTGGTTGAATTGATTTTGCACGAAAGAGAAAGATGCGTTTTCTCCAGCATCAGCTGGTGTGGAATGTGTTTAGCAAGGAGGATTTTCAAACGAACTGGTTCACGTTCGTTATGTTAGAGTAACAAAGACTTGCCGCCGAGGGAAGTGAGATCTTTGCGGTTTCTCTGTAATTACAGATTTCTTTCAATAATTCAATCGTCTACCAACAACACACGTCGTCGCGTATACTCTTTCGTGACTATGACAATTATTAGAGTGCTGCAACGTTTCTTCTCGTAAATTCAGTTACGCGAGTGAAATGTAATTCGATTACATATGTCCATTGCGTTATCTCTGCAATTTCCGCATTTCAGGCATAATCTTTTATCGCGAGTACAGGTGACGAATAATGTCGAGGAGAAATGGCTGTTAACTTTGTTTAAATCACTTAGACCACCTTCGACAACATTTTTCGTTTCAAAATTCGTTTCTAATCGTCTTTAATTCCCCGCGTCGTAAGATGTTTACGATTCTCAATTTATTTTATAGCTTTAGGCTATTTGATATCAACGTCGTTTCTCCAGTGATTTCTTCTTTTTCTTCGTTTGGTGAAAATCGACACTCGGCGGTTTGTTTTCCTCAGAAAGTGTCGGCAATTATTTTTTCACGCAAGAGTTGGGCATTTATATCTTTGGGAATGACATTGACGGATTCCTTTTACCGTCTAAGCGGTGCAATTTACATGTTAACGCGACTCTATAATGCCAGGGCAATATAAGTTGAGCAATACGAAACCGATAATCTTATTGCCTTAGACACATACGCGCACACGGAATGTATAATCTACCAAGGATTTCGGTAAGATAAGATAACCCGGTGGAAAGTAATTAATTTTGACGAAATAC